AGAGTGGCTCCCACAGATCCCAAGAACAACATCCGAGCTCCCTGTCCCGAAGAGGGCAGAGCTGGGAACAGCTCAGATCCTGCGCAGAACCCTCAAACTCCCAGGCCTCTGGTAGAGGACCCAAGATTGAGGAAGACAGGTACAACCCATAGGGATGAGAGGGGATTTTATATACACACACACATGCACGCATGCATGTAGGAAGTTCGCTCCTATGGGTTTATTCAGATTATCACCCCACCCAGCTTTTGTTTTTTTTTTAACAATAAAAGCAGATGGAAAACCAAAATCTAGCCCAAATCCAGTTGCTGGCAGCCCACCCCAGTTCATTTCTTATCTCTTGCTTGCCCTGCATGGAAATGAGCCACTTTGTTTTATATGAAGTTTATATAAAAAAAGCTTGCCTAAAGATTGATCACAATATGAAAGACCACGTGATGTATTTTTATCAACTATGCTTTGTAAGCAATCTAACCGATATTAGATTGTTTTGTAACCCAGTATTACAGATTGTGAAACTTCAAAACCTCAATATTTGAAATTGGTTCAACTGCATGAAGACTCCAGTGACTAAAACTAACCTGTTTGTACTTGCCAACATGATTCACAGCCAGGCTATGCTTTAAAGGTATCTTTCCCAACCTGGCATCTAATTAATGGGATGGAACAGCAGCTCCTAGGAATCCCGTCCAACATCACTGAAAGATGCTGAGACCAGGTAAGGAAGGAGGAGAAATCAGAAACTCCAAGGGTTCCTATCTTCAGTGACTGGCAACTGTTGAGAGAGTCTTTTGGAGGGGGATCATTCTGGGACTGATACAAACTTTGACATCTCCAGGGTTGGGACACTGCCCACCCGAATCCCTGCATAACACAGACCACCAATTTAACGCAACAAAAGCCATTTTGAGGTGACCCTAGGGTGGGTCCTGGCGGTGGTTAATTCATCCTTGCAGGAGGGGTGTTCCCGAAGCCTTTCAAAGAGGCTTTGGTCCACCCTCTCAAGAAACCGTTGCTGGACCCCACCCTCCTGGACAATTTTCGTCCAGTCTCCCTTTTTAGGGAAGGTGGTAGAAAAGGTGGTCACGCGGCAGCTTCAGAGGATCCTGGAGGAAACGGATTATCTGGACCCCTATCAGTCAGGATTCAGGCC